CGAGACAATTTGTATCAAGGCCAGCAAAATTATTTTTTATTATTTGTTACCAGTTATTACAATGTTATTTGTTTTCTTTGCTTCAGAAGATTCGGAAATACTATTGACTCTCATATATTGACTTCAAAAACCTAAAGTAGAATAAAAGTTTTCCAGGTAAATAGTATGTCAGATACGAACTGTTACCAGAGCAAATTTTAAATGCGTAGATTCAATGGTTCTTTACTTATAGGTAAACAATATGTTGGAATGGTCTCAATAATGTTATTTTACATTCTAAAAAGTTAGTTCCTTGAGCAAAGTTTCAAGTGCGTAATAATTTAATACTATAAATTACCTTAGAATCCTCTATTCAGTGCATTACGTAAAGCTCGTGTCTCTTCTACCTCAGGATTGTTCTTCGAGGTTAGATATCCTATGATTGTTGGTTTTTCAAAATTATTCTCAAAAAATACTAGTGATGGTTCATTAGAAGAGACCGCTACAGTTGCCTGCCAAACGCAGCCATCTCACAGAATATGATCTCATCACTATCTCCACAAACTCATCGGTATAATCCTGGAAGATTAATTATGCAAGGAAGTTTTTATCGTATTCTGTCACACAGATGTACATTTATAACCAAAATTATGTTTCCAAAGAAGAATAAATCCTTTCACATTATTCGATAGTTTTTATTCAATAGATGCATTTTTCGTACAAACGGGGAAGGAAAGTCTCTTATCTACTGTGCATCTCTTTAAACTTATATGAAAAATACCATTTTAAAAGCTGTTACGAAAGTATGCAGTCAGGGAATATGAATTACTGAGGTCATGACATACTCCAGTAGCTGGTACTGGACTTTTTCCGACCAATTGCCCTTACTTCAGTTGTTCGTCCTTGAATACACAAGTTACATAGATAAATGTGTATGTCTAAGAGATAGATTGATTGGAATACAAAATGTATTGTAATAGTGTTCCTAGCTGTTGTATACCAAACGTCACTGGTTGCCAGCGCATGGAAAAACACTATAGTGGGAACAAAAAAAGACTTATGAAATTGACATTTCTGCCTGTATTGAGAGAGATCACACAACGTTAAAACATTTGTTCTCTATAATAAAATTCCGAAGAATTGCGAAACAAGTGGTTTGGTTAGCAACGTTGCCAAGCTTGCCTTAATGCGTATTTTCGAAGGTTTTGTATTAGAAAAGGTCAAAGCTCAGATCAAACTGGATCATTACCAAGATGATTATGAACAACTTCGTCCACCTACTGAAACTGGAAATAAATATCAGCCTGCACTATATTCGTAACACTACATTATAGTATCTCATAATGGACTCGGAAAGTGTTGGAAAAGCCCACTTTGTGTACAGTATGTGAGTGTAAAAGAGAGATAAGAGTAAATACTTGGTGTGGCATGAAAATATCTGGCTGTGGATATGGATTATTATTTTATACGAGAAAGGAAACTGTGAACTCAGTAATTGCTACCAGGTAATAAGAAAAAACCGCATGTTAATCTATTCAATATAGCGTAATCTGTCATATTTTTAATAATCTTCCAATGAATTAATTTATACTGATAAAAATTAATAATATATTGGTACAATATACTGAAATTTTCTCTAGCATTAGAATAAATTCTCTACATTACTGGTATGGTAAACAAGGAATGGAACAAATAAAACTATTCAGCAAAATGTGAATTTCTTTTGCCAATTCACAAACCCCTTTAGTTCAAAATGCAAAGCTCTGGCAAATCATAGCTCTCTATTACAAGCAAGTAACTGATTTACTGCATGAAAGTGACGGTCATTTCAGAAGCTAAAATATGTCTATCCTGGTCTAGACAATAAATTCTCAGGATTACTTATTTTTTGGACTTTTTCACTTGTCTGGAGTTCTAAACATCACGCAAAATTACAAAATCCCACATGCTTTCTTCCTCCGGTATAAGGAAACTTTCCGTGTTTTTATATCACGTGTTCTTCGACTTTGATACAATAAATCTTGTTCCTTGCTCTTTGTGTAGTAAATTCAAAAGGAATCATTGCAACGCTTACTTCACAGCTGCTTATAAACTGAGCGAAAGATTAAATCCGTTAATTAGTTAGTTAGTCTTTGCGGCCAATTGTCACCAGAAATATTTTTAGTGAAAAGGCTAGGCTTAAAAGGAATAAACTACTCGTAATAATAGTGTTGCGTGTAAAGGTAATAATCGAAGTTTTCGAACGGATTTGCGATATTAGATACTCCTTTAAAGGAAAATAGTCCCTGGCTTTAGTGCTTACTTCTTTAAAGGAAAATAGTCCCTGGCTTTAGAGCACGAAAGCTTCGCTTCCGCGGTAATGACCTCAGCAGAAATCGATGAGAGTTGTCGGTTTAAGTGGAGTGACTGGTTCTGTTGGTGTGCTTCAGATTTCATCAGTCTGTTAAGGATGCTTTGATGCTTCTCTTTAACATTTACATTGTCTCTCTACAGAATTCAATTAAATTTTATACGATGAATCATGAATACAACTCGAACCGTAACGTCGCTACTGAGTACGAAAAATGTATCATAATATGGAATATCATTTACCGATAATTTCATCTGTAAATAAGAAACAGTTTTCTTTGGGGGTATTTTTGCCGTCGATTGATGGATATAATCATCGCATTATGAAAGTTACAGTCTTCTCAAAAGTTATATCTTAACTGGGATACTGGGAACGACCCGTTCTTCAAGTGCCTTGAGCATCTGCGGGGTCCCTTCTTTACGTTGGCTTGATCAATAGACATTCGGTAGGACTCCTTGGACGAGGAATCGGCCCGTCGCAAGGCCTCTACCTGTACACAGGACAGCACAACACAGACAGACATCCATGGCTTGAGTGGGATTCGAACCCACGGTCCCAGCGACCGCGCGGCCACTGCGGACCCCATATCTTAACACACGTCCTATTAGGGTACGAGAGGTGAATCGGGAATAATAATTTGATCCTATTGGACAGACGATTAGAACTCTGCTCAGAATGGTGGATGCTTGCAGCAAGTTTTGTTGTAATTATTACAGCTGCTGTAAATTATTACACAGACTTATAATTTATGTCGCTCTGGAGCAAATATTTAATAGATGTTTAACGAAAACTGTAGCATAGCATTTGGTCAGTATCTTCATATGATAAGACTGAATAAAATGAAGTTTATATGAAATATACAGAGTGTACAATTTTATAACATAGCCCATCAATAATAACGTACTACAGTAAAAAGTCGAATCACAAGTAGGTCCGCCATCTCGTACGACTTTCCCAGCCACATCAGTGGCACTCAAGTCACCATTATCTAACAAGGTAATACATAATGCACCAACTCCTAACAACAGCGACACAAAAAATGTTTGTCTCTGACAGCCGATTATCGAAAGGCTAACAGTTGGAACTACGGCTCTACACATTTGACTCAGTGCATCAGCTACAATAATTGGATATGGCTAAAAAATTCAATATTGCCGTTGGCTTCTTCTATACTACCTACGCCTTTAAATATCATGAACAACATTTACTTGTGTTATGCAAAATATGTCAGATTGTATTGAAAAATATTTGGAACAAAACTTTATTTTTAAGAGATCTATATTAACTGTATGTGATATGGGAACAAGTTTTATAATGTAAAAGTCAATTGAGAAAAATATTATTTTCAGTCTGGGGTTCATACGAAGTATCCGATTTTAAACAAAATTATATCCTCCTTCATAATTCGATATTCAATCTATACACACATCAACCGACTAACCTTTAACATATTTCTGTGCATTTTATTTAAGATACAAGCCGAAGTTCTAAAGACAAATTAGATAATTTCTTTAAGGTCCTTTGATATGTTCTACATGTACTTACATAAGGCTTAAAATTTCATGTGCGCAGTATAAAACATTATTATCGCAAAAACAATCAAGCTCAAAATGTGGAAGTTCTTCGTAACCTTGGCCATAACAACTAGTTTTCGAATACCACTCTTCAAATTGGTAACCTTGGCCATAAAAAACTAGTTTTCGAATACCACTCTTCAAACACGTGAGTAGTTCGGCCTACTGTATTCCTAGTCACGACTGTAATCTTGAGACTTGTAAGGAAAGTAGGAAGTCCGTAGCGTTAAAGGCAGACGCTATATTTCCTCCTTCACCCCACTTCATCACCCCGCAAGTCTCAAGATTACAGTCGTGGACTGTATACAGATGTGTTTACTTAAAACGCGACCCTGCTAACTGCACACGAACAAATTCACTCAAAAAATGAAGAAACAATGGCAATAATAAATCCTTGCAGCCGTGTCCTGTTGTCGTAGCTAATGTAGCGTTTTACATTCGCACGGCCTTAATTCAGCTGTCTAGTGCTGACTCAAACTGAGTGGAGTAATGCCAGCTATAGCAAACCTTTATCAGAATGGAGTAATACTTATATAAATATTAACTTCAGAAAAAAAAGACAAATAATTATTTAAGGCGTCAAAGTGACAACTCTACCTTAAACAAACAAAATTAATATAAGCTTTACATTAAATTTTACAAAAATCCATTTAGCCGTCCTTGACTGATTTATACGCATAACAGATGAATAAATGGATTAGTTACAGTAGGCATAATTTTAACACACGTAAAAGCAAGAAATTAATATATCTGCTTCTTCTCTGTCCCCCTGAAAGTTATTTTGTATTAGCGTTCATGCAGAGTTGTATGAAGGCGACTGTCTTCAAAATATAATTCCTTATATTAAAGACAGTTCATTCCCATAATAGAAAATTAAACTGTGTAAAGTCAAAGCATTACAAATGACGTCAACAAAGATATTTTCGTAAATGCAGCCATAGAAACTCTCCAGGGTCATATCCCAGCAGGTAGCACTCTTTCTCCCCAGTTTAAAACTAAATTGTGATTAAAATATTGTCACAGAATATAAATTACAGTTCATACTGTGCAGATGATGCTGCCTGCGAGAAGCTGACGGCTGTATACAGAACTCATTTAATCACTGTCTAACACTGTCACCTCAAACATGTCACAGGTGAAACGTGTTTAACACTCCTGTTATGTACTGTAAATATTCATACACCTAAAACCCAATTTTACATTCATAATTAAAATTACGCTATACAATTTTTACATATAGTGAAGTACTTTTAATAAACAGTGGACGAGCATTATAAAGTAAATACTCCTATGTTTAAATTATGTTTCTAAATTCCGTCAGCTATTACTTATTATTATGCTTTTCCCACAGACGCCTTTCGGTCACTCATGCGCCTACGGAAATAGGTTAGTATTATGAGATACCTGAAGAACATTAGAAAAATAGTTTACATTTTACGACAGTGCACGAAATGAAGAAAAAATACATTTAGAAAAATAGTTTAAATTTTACAACAGTGCACGAAATGAAGAAAAAATACACGAATAATTTTCTGCGTTTGATGCTATATCCACTTTAACATTTAATGCGTTATAATTCACACAAAGTACATGGGACCGAATTCGTTCGATAACCATGCGGAATTATTATGTCAAATTTAGAATATTTTCACAAA